AATCTGAGATCGTCGCAAGTTCGAATCTCTGTCCCACCAAACATGCTCGCCCTTTAAGCCGTGGGGCGTTATAAGGTGACGGTCAATCCCACTATTCGTTGGTAAAAGAGTAGCCCAAGAGTTGGCGATGGGTGGTGGTGATGACTAGCTGCCTTCCCTCTCATCTTACACTGCTAAATTAGGGACGGCTAACGCAGATAGCCCTCGTGTAGCTTTGCGCAAAATCTATAACAAACAAACAAACAAACAATTCATAGGGAGGATCACATCCAAACATCTCTGTCACACTTCCTGTGCAGGGGATGGGGGCTAAAGGTACATAGTCATATACAAATTATCTGAAGTTTATTAGGAAAATTACAGCTAGAAATTGTGAGAATATAAAATAACACCATTAATAAAATGTGATGAAATTATTAATTTAAAGAAATTTGTTGACTAAACAAAGATACGGGCTCAAAATTCTATTATTTCTGCCATCTTGTGTTGTTGGAACACCAGTTTTATGAGATGGTTGAGTATAGTCTCTTCCTGTGGAACATATGATTTTGAACACTTGGTACAGGAATAAGTTCAAATTAATCCAATAAGTTCAGGTTTTGTGTACATCTTTCTGTATCATACTGCTATTGTGTAATAATAGTTTAGAAATAAAACAAGTCGTGTAAATCTTGTATGCCTTGGCTATTTTTATCATTCTCATAATGTCGAGCATATTTTTCCAGGACATAAACACTTGAAGTTTGTGACAAAATAAAAACAAAGTATATTCCTGACAAAAGTTGTAAATCAAAAATTATTAAAGAATTTATAAACATTTTGTAAAAAGAAAAGCATGAAATTCAACAACTGTGTTTATGTGCCAAAATGATAGTTACATCATTTCTTAAGGTTCTCATGGTGACATCATTTGTTAATATTCTCATGGTTACATTGCTACCGTTCTCACATTTACATTGTTTGTTACTGTTCTCATGGTTACATTATTTGTTACTGTTCTCACAGTTAAATCATTTGTTAAAGTTCTCACAAGAAAAACATTGTTTGTTACTGTTCTCACAGTTACATCATTTGTTACTGTTCTCACCATTACACCGTTTGTTACTGTTCTCACGGTTACATCACTTGTTACTGTTCTCACAGCTACATTGCTTGTTACTGTTTTCACGGTTACGTCACTTGTTACTGTTCTCACAGCTACATCGCTTGTTACTGTTTTCACGGTTACGTCACTTGTTAAAGTTCTCACAAGAAAAACATTGTTTGTTACTGTTCTCACAGTTACATCATTTGTTACTGTTCTCACCATTACACCGTTTGTTACTGTTCTCACGGTTACATCACTTGTTACTGTTCTCACAGTTACATCTCTCATTACTGTTCTCACAGCTACATCGCTTGTTACTGTTTTCACGGTTACGTCACTTGTTAAAGTTCTCACGAGAAAAACATTGTTTGTTACTGTTCTCACAGTTATATTGTTTGTTACTGTTCTCACCGTTACATCGTTTGTTACTGTTTTCACCATTACATCGTTTGTTGCTGACCTCATGGTTACTTCTTTTGAGCAGTCAGATTGCCAGATTTTTTTTTCTAAGACAGCTGGATAATTTTGAACACCCATGATATGTTGTCAGTTTAGATAGTAATAACTGAAATATTGTGTGTGACCTACCCTCAGTGTTAGCTCGTATCTGATACAGTAATATAAATTCTTGTGTTTAGTTAATATTAGGATTCTTAGTTTGAAAAATAATGAAAGAGAAAAAGAAAAACGTATATAATATACACACCTAAAAAAAATCTCAGTCAATACCCATGTTAAAGAAATGTCATAAAATTGTCACTAAAATATTGTAAGGGATCTTGGGATACATTTATAATGGATAAAGAAAGTACAATTTCAAGGTGATTGGCAAGTGAAAACAATCAGTCAATTGATTAGGTTTTGATGAATTAATTTAAACAAATTATGTACAATATCTGATTTAATATTAAGCACTAAATAGTACATGTATATTCGACTAATGGTGAAAACCAGATCATAGTGATATGGAGCATGGAAAGTACTAGCATGATTTAAGTGACAAATAAAAAATATATCATTATTTATTTGTAAAGCCACAAACTTCAAAGAACTCTATGATTACATTTGTATGATAAAAAAACCTTTGTAACTCATTGAAGCATTAAGCCGAGCCTACTATTTACAAATCAGAGATCACACACTATTTAAAGATGTTTTTGCAAATGTTATGAACATTTATTTTTCTAATATGAATGTTGAATTTCTAATAGTAAGACCTACATCTGCATGTTATTTTCTGAAAAATCTATAAGATTATTATGTGTGTGTGTATATATTTATAAATGTTTTCATGAAACAAGCGTTTTATTTGTATGTTGTTCGTTTACAGTACGCCATGACTTGCATTCGGTCAATGATCCATTTTTTATGATAGGCTGTAATGCTGTTAATTAGTATGAGTGGTATTCTCCTACATAGTATTCCTACAAGTTTTAGGTATAAATATATTGAAAGCAAGTTTTTTTTTTCTTTTCAGGAATACAACAATATTGTCGACACCCAAAAGTTTGTAGATCCCCAGAGTAAGAACATCTTAACACACGAGTAAGTTTTTGTTCTTCTTTCTTCAAAGAAATGGATAAACAAATAATCCCATGAGTTATTTGAAAAATCTGTTAAAGGTAATAAAAGTTACGATCTGATTATCCTTCTTATATTTTTATTTCAGCTATGTTTTCTGGATGGGAGATTTAAACTTCAGGATCAACGATTTCCAAACTGAAGAAGTCAAATTATTGATTGAAAAAGAAAGTTATACTCCTCTGCTAGCCAAAGACCAGGTGAGTAAATAGTGTCTGTTGTGAATTTATCACCTGAGCCCTGGTAAAACTTTATAAGTTAGGTTGAAAACATAAAAACATGTAGGAACGCATACTACAATAAATATAACTATTTCATTTTTTAGTGTTTAGCAGCATACTACAAAACAAAATTTTATAATTGTTCCATTTACATATTTAAAGTTGACAACGTTGTTTGTTGTGAAGCAAAAAGCTAAAGGATCAACCATCTATGTTTGCCCACCACAGGTATCGAAACCCGATTTTTAGCAATATAAGCCTTAGACTTAATGCTGAGCCGCTGGGGACCCATCAACGTTGGTTACTAATGCAAAAGTTGTCATTTGAACTATTGAACTCAACTCCTCCCACCAATAAGGTTTAAAGACATGTTAACATTATGCACATCAAGAAAGCGTCATGGATTTCTTGTGAAAAATCCAAGACTTCTGTCATATAATGTATTATTTATACCATCAGTCTACTGGGTGACGGAAAAAGTCGCCTGCCACTACCATAATATTTGTAAGTCCTGCCGTTCGTGTAATTTTTCGAAATCACGTTTGTATTTTAATAACAATTGACTTGGATGTCATTAACCTTGCAAGAACACGGAAGTAATCCTGTCGTAGGATTTAGAAGGATCATGGTTGTGCAAAAGTTTTAAATCACCCTGTATGCTACTTAGTCATAGTAAAAAGTTCAAGTAGCACAAAGTAAAAAAATCTGTGCTTTGAACCCAACATCCAACTTGTAATGTCTTATTTCAAGACAAAACTCTTTTATTTCAGTGATTATATCGTGCTTTTCATATTAAAGTATTAATATAGGAATTCAACAGTGATCTTATTATTACTCCTATTACCTAATACATCAGATATTCATTATTGGTTCTTCCTTGCATTTCACACACTTCTTTGAAGAAGACTGAAGGTGGGTATCTAGAGGGGCTGAAGGTGGATATCGAAAGGGGCTGAAGGTGGATATCTAGAGGGGCTGAAGGTGGATATCGAAAGGGGCTGAAGG